AAAAAAAAAAAGAAAAAGGAAGGGATGATTTCAGAAATATTTAGGAAGGCGAACTGTTAGGAATACACTTTGCTCATAGCTGTAACAGTTAAGAAATTTAGGATGAGCCAGGCATGGTATTGCACACCCGTAATACCAGCACTCTACAAGGCTGAGACTGGAGGATTCCAAGTTTGAACTCAGCTTGGGCAACTTAGAGATTTATGGATAGACTGTCTCCAAGGTGGGGACAGTTGGGCTGGGATTGTAGTTCAGTGCAAAGACCCTGGGTTCAATCCCCTGTAATAGGGGGAAAATTCTAGGATGACTTCTAAATTCTAAGACATTTTTAGTCGAGGGTAAACGAATGGAAATAAGCAGGAATGGACAGCTAAAATAATGTCTGTGCATTGGCAACTTGGAAATTCTTTATTACATTGCCAGAAAATAATGTCAGCACCAGTCTGCTACGATTTCCAGTTGTGCCTCAGCCAGTTTCCAGGGCAAGAATGAGAGAGGCCAAGCCTCCTTTTGCTTGGGTGACAGCAATCAACAACGGATTTTGATCCTTTCCTTGACATGTTGTGGCCCAAGCCTTCCTCTATGTAATAAGCTAATTCATTCTTTTTCATCTTTAAAGTACTAAGCAGAGGGAAAAGCTTCCACAACACCACTCATTAGGCCTCTGGAGAAAGACGACGTCACACCCCTTCAGCCCATGCTGAGGATATCTGCTAAACTCGAAGCTGGCAGCCATGCTTCAGGAGTTCCAGGTATTGTTCTTGTTACTCTTCCTGAATTTTCTGGCCACAAAACTGTTGGCAAGAGAAAAAGGAAGTCAACATAAACATGAAATATTTAGGAGTAAATCTACCAACTCCAACTCTTTGCGTCGCTGGCACCGCACTGGCATTGCTCTGCAAACCTGTCCATTTATGAACTTTTCCAGTTTGCTTTAAATTCTACAGTGCAAGAATTCGGGCATTCTTGTTTAAAACAGAGCTCTTCCTTTTTCATTGACCCACTGGATATTCAGTCTCTTAGTATTATCTCCCTTCTCCCAGGACAGCTCAGAGAAGCTAAAAGATATTTACTTTCCCCACCAAATGGAGGCAGTGAGAAAAGCAGAACTTAGCTTTGCACCAAGAAAACGTGTTGGAATTTTTTCAGTGCTATCCTGGAACTGCGTGGGCAACCCAGGAGGTAAATCCGCCCAGCTGAGCATTAGTGCTTAAATCACAAAGCCTGTGACGTCGCCCCCGCGTGGTGGCAGGAGAGGTTAACAGTCACCAAGGAAGGGCGAACCAGCTGCCCTGCAGCCGAAAGATCTGTGCTGTGGAACTAGGGTAAATATTCCAGCAAGCTGGAGACTGGAAATGACCAGGATCTGGGAGCTAGGAAGAAGTCAAGAGAGAGAAAGACCGGTGGGATGAGGGTCTACAAAAGATTTAGTTCGAGTTGATAGTTTAGTTTTGTTGCTTAGTACCCATCTACCAAAGACTTAAAACGAGCTTCTCTGTGTTGAGCCTATTGAATGCTTTGGTTAGTTTAAGAGATGAGTCATTCTGTTCACAGGAGTGTCACTGACTCATAACAGAAGCCCTAAGTCATTTCTAAAGCTGGTCTTTCCAGGGGTCAAATTCAGAACTTTAGTTTCTTATTTATGTTGTGAATGCACAGCTGTAGAAACAATGTAACATTAAAATTGAGGTCATTTGGACTTCCTGTCATTTACTGGTTTCAGTGATGAAAAAAGCATGAAGAGATTAACATGTGACTCCCAAGTCCCTGTGGGCAATGCTCTGTAGATAGGAGTCTATTTACAGAAATTGCATTTTGAAGAAATGTACAGATCAAAGTCCAAGACAGTCAAGAATCTTGAAAATATGCAGGGATTTTCCAGGGAAGTTAGCCAACCATAGTTACTGACCATTAAGACGTCCACTTTTTGTTAGTGTTTGAAGGAAATACCAGGGCATTGAGACAGTGATTGATAGGTCTCCCACCACCTCAGCAGCTATTATGTATAGTAGCTGCCCACTTCCTATGGTGCCTTGCCCCCTCCCCTGTGTGACATCATGCCAAGACGGTTGCTCCCACCAAAGAATAAACCCTTCTTCCCAGCATGCCCCTGTTCCCACCTAGAAAGTAACCTAATACTCGCTCACCTCCTACCACCTAGTGACATCATGGGCTCCTCCATTCCCTAGTCACTACCTCACTCAACCCCACCTCTGCCCCTGCAAACCCAGCCCCAATCTCTATAAAAGACTCTCCCTGCCCCGGCCATACTGCTTTTGTCTCTCCTTTGTTCAGAGACAGCCCGGCAGATCTATTCCCCTAATAAAGGTTTGTTGTGGCCTGGCCTGGTCTTGGTCTTTGGCCCTTTTACCTGACAGTGATCTTAGAGTATTATAGTCTAAGTGATCAGATCAAATAAATATAGTAAAATATTAGAGAATAATTCTAAACATCGAGTAAGAGATTATAGGTATTATTTATAAGGACATTCTTCACATCTTTATTTCAAGTGTTGTATCTCTGTTCTAGGATTATGAAATCATCCACCATGCTCCTCCTGTGAAAACTGTGCCATCCTGGTCTTAAAACACCTGCAAGAAAGGACACTGTGATTTTTCCTGAGTAAGTAACAAGGGAAAAAATGGTAGCCAACTTTTCAAATATGTTTGAATGTGGATTAAGGGAATAAAATGTAAATTTAAGGCATAGAAAAAATATTTTCTTGAATATACTTTCACAAACAGTGCCATTGTTTTCATTGATTCAACAAATATTATAGGTTGGATGCCCAAGGGTATTGGAGAGGAGAGTGGATATTGAGCCCAGTACATGGTCCTGTGCCTAGCAGACTGTGGACTTATGGGTAATTTAATGCAAACATACTGAGTGCTTGGGCCATTCCAAATCTTCAGGTTCATGTGTATGCCCTTCAGTTAGCTGACGAGAACACAGCAAGTTGATGTTAGATCATTTCCTTAAAGTTAGCCAGAAGATCTTTGATAGAACCAAGCCTCAACACTTGAATTTCCGATTACATTATTCTCCTTTTCTTCCAATGTTACTTGGAAAGAATAGCAAAGTCTCTTAACATTTCTGAAATAAGCAGCTCAATCAAGTAGTGTATTTTTATGGAAAATTTTGAGCTCAGCAAAATTCCAGGTATTGCAAAGGATGATAATAAAAATACTAATAACTTCCATTTATTAAATATCATATGTATTGTGTTATATAAATGTTATATTAGTTGCTTTACATTTATTATGCCTTTCAGTTTTCAAGTCAAAACTATTATGTGATAATTCAAATTTTACATAAAACTAAAGCTCAGGGAGAATTTCCCAAACTGGATGGTTTCCAAAGATTGTACTCTTACTCAATAATCTATATAGCATTTGGTAAGTAGAAAGTAAAACTCACAGAAAGCTAAGCCATGAGCATTCAGCTTTAGGGAACATCCTGGTTATCTTCTTAACAATTAACCAATCTTGGGTGGTCAGTATGGAAACATTAAACCAAAAGGCAGTCTCCAGATCTTAATGTAAATGAGAAGAGGAGAGGGTTGGCTAGGGAGGAACGACCTACCTGCTTTACTTACTCATGTTAAGTACTAATGTGAGAACAAAATAATAGTAAAACAATATCAGACAACTGGCCATAAAATTTGAGGCTATTAGTATGAAAAATACTATTTCAGAACAGTGTTTTACATGCACAACTAGAATTTGACAAAACAGAATTAGGTATAGTATTGTATATACTTTGTGCTAATCTTCATCTCTCCACCTTCCCTGTTTCTACAAACAAAGCAGATATTTCATTCTAGTCCAAGGAGCAACAATAAGTGAATCCTGTTCTAAGATGAATATTTTATTATGTCAATTATTTTTATGTTGCCAAGAGTAAAATGGTAATTTAATAACTTTACCCATGATTTTCAAAATTTTGATAATTTAAGAATGATCTCAACTTTTTAAAGTTTGGAAAGTAAATATGGCACTATTACAAAAAATATAGTGTCAGTTTGATATTTAAATGACATGTTTAGACAATTCACTATAAAAATAAATAATATAATTAATTCTCATGCTTGTGATTTTTGAAATAATTACTATAGAACTACTTTTATAGAAAAGTGAAAAATATGGCTACATGTATGCTATATGTGCTCACATTAATCATTTTTGTTACTATTAACATAATTATTTTTATTAATATAAGAATTACTAAAATGATAGAGGGTCTCTATTGTGCCATAACAATGATTTACTTTTTCCCAATTGAAACTATGTGCATTGGTTTTGAAGAATAACTAATGAAGTCTAATTTCTGACATTACCATTGACTTAGGTTAACCATTATAAACCTTAATTTCTTCATCTGCAAAATATAGACACAGTCACTAAGGTATGTGAGTGAAATTATATGGCATATTTTACCTAAATCCCCGGCCCTGTACCAAAATTATTAATAAGTTCTCATTCCTCTTTTGTTGATGGACACACTATTGAAAATAAGGAGAACACATGCAACAAATATCAATAAACTACTACTTACAAATCAGTGAAACCTGAGAAGTATTGAAATTTTCTTTTCCTCTAAGAATCTAATGGTGGCATACTCACACACAGGAGACAAATCCAGGGACCTTCTCTTAAGTTGTAAAGTAAATCCTTCATTTTACTAATGAAAGAAAGATGAGTGCTTCCTAATTAAGCAGTCTTATGGCTTCATCTGTAGGACCTAGGAATTTTGACACACTGAAGAAGAACAAGGACAATATGTTGCTAAGACAATGAAAGTACTGAACTACCTTTGTTCTAGATCATGGATTGAGCAAACAGGCTAGATTTTCAACTCAATTTTATTGGTATTCTTCTATACAAGAAAATTGGACAGTATACACAAATACAAGGAAATAATAAACACAATTTATATTCATTACATTAGAGAATTAACTACTGATATGTTGTGTGTACATTAGTGTCTGATCACAACCTTGAAATTTTAATTCAAGTCCAAAGTAAATAAAAGGATAGTTTTACTTTGTATAGAGAATAGCAAACCAAAAGATAGTGCACACTGAAAATAAACTTTCCCAAAAAAACAGAGATGAATAATGAATGTGATTACTAAAATTAACTGTAAAGGAAACTTTTTTTCTTTTCAATAAAAAAGGGCAACAGAACTGAGTAATAAGAAGCTAGGATATTTCTTTACAGCTATCCCTGTCTTTACAGATATACCTGAATGGCACCAGTCAAATTCTCTAGTTAATTGTTATAGAGGCAAAGATTCTACTGGAACCATATGGCAATTCCTCTCTACTTCACTGTTAATGAATATATGAGTCATAGCTCCTTTGGGATAACTTAGATCATTACATTTGTTTTCCCTCTTTTAGTCTCATATATTATTTATTTTAGTGAAGGCTTTGTTTTCTTATGACTTAGTTTCCAACAATGGCTTTACTCCCGCTGGTGGTGTTTCTCATTATTATGCTGCTTCCATCTTTACCCACTGAAGGAAAGGTAAGGTTAAAATGGAAAATCTTTTTGGAGCTATTGAACAGCTGTGTGGGATGGCAAGCTACTTTGAGAGCAGAAGAAATAATAAGCTTTCATACATCATGTCCTTATGTTTGTAACACAGAGCACTTAACAGTGTTCTCAGTTGTGAAGACGAGAAATTGAGGTAGTGCTGTCCAGCATGGTAACCTTCAGTCCTGTGTTTCTGTAGAACACTTGATAAGACAAAGTGTACTATAAGTGCAAGATACTCACTAGACATCAGAGGTTTAAAACAGAACAAAAAGTCACATTAATCATTTTTATGTTGACTAAATGATGAAATATGGTATTTTGGATATGTCATTAAATAATATATTAGATTCATAAGGCCATTGTAACAAATTATCCTAAACTTAATGGAGAAAAATAGAAATTTATTCTTTCACAGTTAAGGAATCAAAAAGTTTGAAATGAAGGCATCTGCAGAGTTATGCTCCTTCTGGAGGAGTTAGGAACACTTTCTCTGGCTCCTGGCGACTTCTGCCAAATCATGGCATCCCTTAACTTGTGGCTGCATCATTCCAGTCACCGTCTCCATGTTCAAATGATCTTCTTCTCCATGCATCTCTTACAAAGTCATTTGTCATCAGATTGAGTCCTCACTTGGATAACTCAAAATGATTGCATCCCAAGATCCTTAAAAACATTACATCTGCAAAAATGTATCTTTTTCTCAAATAAGATCATATTCATGATTCTGGGGTTTGGAACATGTCCTAATGGGGGGGTGGCTATCATTTACCTCATTATAATAAAATATATTTACTATCATCTGTTTTCTTTTACTTTTTTAATATGACCACCTACATTAAAATTGCATATCATCCTTGAGTTACAATTTGAATGGACAGCATGATCTATGAGTAAAAAGCTAATAATAGTTCTCTCGTCCCAAGATCTTTTCTGATTTCCTTATTCTCTTTCATTTCCATGTGACTTTTATAGAAAATTAACAATATGCATAATCTTAAATTAGTACAGTTTCTTAAATATCATGCATTTAATTTCTTTGTAGTAACTGTGCAAGAATTAGATCTGTTTTTAAATTTAAAAGTAAACCTAACTGTAAAGCATGTTTTTTACAGTCACAGAATTAGTAATTGAAGGCTTCATTAGTAATTAAAGTCTTGAATTCGGATCCCCTATTTCTAATGTGCTTCTCTGATTTAATGGTCCCAGAAACAAGATCTATCATGCTCTTCAGAAATCACTGAGGTCCCTGGTCTTAAAAATATAAAAGAAAGAGGGACTACACATGACTACGGTTTTTGGAGAATCTGAAAAGAGCTCAGTATGAGGGGAAGAGCAGATAACTTATCCCAAAGTAACAGAGAAAATCTGGTGATTTTGTCAGTTGAGACCCATCCTCAAAATCTTGTCCATACCCTGGAATAGCATACTCCTGTGTAAATTTAAAACCATATACCAACAATTCGTATATACTATTTTACCATCAGGCTGATGCCCACATCTACACAACCACAAAGATAACTTGAAAATATTAACACCTGAATACCTGATCAATTACAGAATCAAACCATCAATAGTCCATTCATTAGATGAAATGTATCCTTCCAGATGACCTTGAAGATTTTTTTAATACTGAAAGGCTGTCATTTGAACAATCCTGAAAAATACCAACCTTAATAATTAAAATGGTTTTGCTCAAGACATACACTCTGACTGGCCTTAAACATCCTTTCTCCAAGTGCAGGCACTATGGCCAAAGCTCCCCATAAATAAATCACTGAGCTCTCCTCACCTCATCTTGCTGCAGCCTGATCATGTGAATGAATATGTCTTAAATTTCCGCTTATGAATCTTTTGGTCATAAAATATTGCCACTGATTTGTTTGTAAGAAATCATGTTGAATGTTCCCTTGAAGCTAGAAATTGGCCTTGGGGCCACAGAGGAGTTTTCAAGTTGTCCTTCCATGAATTACCACCCATTTCCAAAGCTTCAGTGCACCACTGTCCTCCTTAAAAGTCACACCTCTGGTTCAAATTCAATAGCAATGCTTAACAAGTAATATTTGCTTCAAATATCTAATATCACATAATAACCTAATGTTATGCACTTTTAAAGTGATCTTTGTTCCCTTGAACTTATTCAATATTATATGCAATTTTCAAAAATCTTGAAAAATGATTCTTATGTTATTTTCCTTAGGATCCACTTTTTACTGCTTTGTTAACCAAACAGTCACCAGTGCAAAGTGAGATTGTAAATAAACACAATGAACTAAGGAAATCTGTCACTCCCCCTGCCAGCAACATGCTAAAAATGGTAAGAGGCAATAATATAAGGACCAAGGAGCTGGCACTAGCATCGTTTTAGAACTGTCATCTCTTTTGTGGAATACAATGTTTGGTCTGAATTTTTTCATTTTATTTGAAAATATACATAGAGAAGATTGTATTTCATTATTATCAAAATTGTTAAATAATTTATTGAAGTTACAAGTTTATTAGGTTTCGAAAGCAAAATTAAAGTCAAATCTATCTTAGAGCATCTAATGTGAAGCCATTACACTTTTCTAGTCTTAAATCAATACATTCTTTATCTTCATAATCACTGTCATTATTAATGTAAATGAAAGCCCCTTCCTTGGCACAACCTTAAAAGCCACTTATCTCCTTTAGGAAAGCAGTAGGCTTTAAATGGCACTGATAATAACTCCAGCCAGCTTACTACTATTAAAATATAATTAGAACTTTTCATGTGTTTAGCAATATTTTAAAAAGTACCAATATTAAAAACCCTAGTTCTGCATGCATAAATAGATACTACTACCTTAGATATTTCACCCCTTAGACACATTACCTCTGGACTTTGCTTTGTGTGCAAAATGGCTTTAGTGAAGCTAAATACACACCAAAAAGTACATTTTAATAAGAATGATAATTCGATAATACTTCTATAGAAGTTTCAAGCACTGATAATCAGATTATATGCTTCATTGTGAATGAATTATTAAGTATATTTTTTTCTTATAACATTTAGGAATGGAGCAGAGAAGCAAGAGCAAATGCACAGAAGTGGGCAAATAAGTGTACTTTAGAGCACAGTAATCCAGAGGACCGAAAAAACAGTATGTAAATTAGCAAATATTTGTTGAACAGATGAGCAAACTATAACAAGTCTTTGTAGGATATTGCATTAAGAAGACTTCCTGAATGTTGCTTATTCTTTATTCTGCTATCTTTTTAAAGTCAAATATTCTGTATGTATATTGAGAGATGATTATAATAGGAACAATTTTGTTTGTTTATTTACATTATGCAAATAACTTCTCACACAGTATCATTCATTTTTTTTTTGATACCAGGTCTTGCTATGTGGTTCAGACTGGCTTTGAACTCACTATGTAGCCAAGGGTGGCCTCCAGCCCATGGTGATCCCCCCGCCTCAGCCTCTTTAGTGTTTGGATTACAGATGTGTACCACCATGCCCACCTGTTTAGCTTATTTTGTAATTTTAAAGATTCCAAAACCCAAATTTGAGAGGGAAATGACTTACGCAAAACAGACTGTAACACACTGAAGTAGTATATACTAGGAATTAACCAAGCTTTCTGATTTTTAACCCATTGACCTTTCTGTGATATGGTAACTGGCACAGCAGAAAGAAACTTTAAGAGCTAGACTTTTTACTTTACAGACAAGTGGCTTCTCCAAACTTCCTCGGGCCTAGAACAGAAACTGCCATTACCTTTCCTCCTCCGGATGATGCACAGATTCTGCAGACAGGACACCAGGAGATCAAAGTGCATTTTCACTTCCACAGGGAAGAGGAGGAGACAGCCACTGCAGGTCCAAGAAGCGGGGGGAGGAAGCCTGGGAATGTCTGTTGTCTCAGTGGATTCCCACCTGACAGTTCCTTGCTAGAAAAGGCCCTCACATACCAATACAACACACAGAGAAATGGGGACTGGGCGATGAGACCTCTTCATGTCTGCAGAGCCAGCTTTGAATAAATCCTTTTTCTTTTTTACCAAAATAAAGGATCTGTTTTGATTTGGTCAGTGGCGAGCAAATGAACTTGAGTATGTGGACTTATGTAAGTGGCTGGTAACAATATCATGCAGCTGATTGGTGTAATAAAACCTATTTTTTGTATTCATAAAATATATATTAAATTAATTTTGCTAATTTAATTGTTCCTGAGTTTTATTCCTGAATTTTGTTCTAAAACTAACCTTTAAAGTCATATTAATATCATATTCAAAACTCACATAAATTAATATTTTGGATGCTTATCTTTAAGTTCTTTATGTCAAGCAATCAAGTGTTGTATGCACTCAGTGTTTATGATGTATAGAATCCTATAATTGTCTCAAAAAAGACACATCACAGATTATAAAACTATGAGAAAAATTGTATACATGAATTTTTTAATAAAATATTTACTTACATTAACAAGAGTGAGACATACAGGTAAGTCCCATGTAAAACCAGTTAATTGTTCGCCTGCTATTTCCATTGAATTGTTATTATTTGTATTGTTGATGCTTTAATAATAGTGAAATTATTCAGAGAGATTACCACTGAGAGTCTGGAAGATCTAAGTCCCCGTTAGTCTTTATTTGCTGTGAACGGAAATATCCAAGAACATTTTATACTCTTTCTAGGCAGCTTGGAGACATTACATGTTAAGCTTCTAAAATGTAAATTTTAAATAAAGGTTTGCAAAGCTAGAGAAACGTTTCTGGGTTGCAAGGCACTTCAGGTCTAATTCTGAAGAGAATATGAGCCTGTGATATTCTGATTCATGGGTTAGGGAAGACTCATAAATTTTGAAAACTGTATTTCCTCCTGAAGTCAGTTGTCTCTTGATTGGTACTGTTAAAGACTGCCTGCAAAGGTTTTCTTTACAAATTTCTTATAAAATCATAAACATTTTTTAGAGTCCTTGTTTGTGAAAAATGTTTGGTGGGGTGGCAAGGGCAGGAGAGAAAGCATGCTGTCTTTAGCATGCCTGCAATACAAAGCTGACAGCCCTGGAGTACAGAATTTAGCAGTGAAATGATTGCATCTTTGACAATCAAGAGAGGGAAGGGTTTTTAAAGAATGGCATCTTCTTAACCTAGTAAAAAAATTGCATTTTGGACCAGCTGCATATGTGTTAGATAATTATGTCATCTAATGCACTTTACAGCTGATAAGAAAGTGAGGGGCCCTCCCCTCATATTAATCAACAGTTAACATCCACGGGTCCTGGGTTTCAGGGTCAGTATCTTTGATTTTTGTAGCCAATTTATCTTACCCTTCTTAGATTTATTGCTTTCATCATGAATGATCTGCTCCTTCCTAGGACCAAATGTGGTGAGAATCTCTATATGTCAAGTGGCCCTACTTCCTGGTCAAATGCAATCCAAAGCTGGTATGATGAGAGCTGAAATTTTATCTTTGGTGTAGGGCCAAAGAGTTACAGTGCAGTTGTTGGACATTATACACGGGTAAGGAGGATAGATACCTCTGCCACAAATCCTGTACTATAAAAAGTGTCTCTAAATGATGACTAACTTTAGTGTTCAGTTTGGGGGATCAGCCTGCGTATACATAAGATGGCCTCAACATTTGCTTCATGCTTTATCTGGATTTGTCACTTTTGTTCAGTCTAACAAATTCCAGGTAGAGAACCATACAATGATTATTTCTATACTATAAATGGAAAAATGCTGAATATACTTTAAAAACTTAGTATTTCAATCATTTGTGACTTTGATTAATAATTTATAAATTATATGGCTACAAAAACTACATGAGTAACATTTTCAGGGTTATATTTGTTATTTGTTTTCTATCTAAATATTTTTCCTCTTTTGTAATCTATTCTCATATGTTTACTCCCTTGTGGATTTGTAGCTTGTTTGGTATTCGTCTTATCTTGTTGGTTGTGGAATTGCCTACTGTCCCAATCAAGAGAGTCTAAAATATTACTATGTTTGCCAATACTGTCCTGCATAAGTATACACTTTTTTGAGTTTAATAGTTCCATTTGCAATTTAAAATTTCTCATATATTAAACAAATCAGAATAAAAAGCACACTTCAATAAAGGGAGCATACATTTTTGGAATTTTTTTTTTAAATTGAGACACCTTTAATTTTTCAGAGGACAGACCAAATTCTCAATTTCAAATATAAAATCTGAAGTTTTCTTTCCTAGAAGGATTGCAAGTAGGGTTTGATGTATTGTGATTTCAGCCCTTTCTTCTCAAATATTTCTCATTAGCTTCTTTAAAATGCTCTTATTGTTACCATTATGAACAGTCCACTCTTTCAGGTCTCAAAGACTTTTCAGAAGTTTCTCAGCATTCTCAGTACCCTCTTCTGAGGACTTGTAGAAAAATGCTTGATCCTTTATTAAACAATATGTCTGAAGTTATCCATAAAACAAATCCTGTATTAAAGATATATTCACAGGCCAGACATGTAGCTCAATGGTGCTGCACCTGCCTGGTAAATGCAAGGTCTTGGGTTCAATTCCCAGTACTGGAAAAAAAAAAAAACGCATTCACAACATATTTATTAATTTTAATTTTTCTAATGTTTGAATGAGAGGATCCCCAAACTAAGCATCCTACACATGTGTTCAGAGACTCTAGATAACCTAGGTGGCAGGGGGCTACAGTTTAAGTTGGACCTCTGAAATTATCTTTCTGCAAATACCTACTAAGGTTTAGTAAAGTTGAAAGGTCTTAGAAGAATGCGTCCAAACTCAGGGGTTAGCCCAGGTGGAATGAATAATGAGAGGAAGCAGGGAAAAGACAACTTTCAGGACACTTTTATACCTATCTCATAATTTCTTCCAGGTACTCACATAAATACAGCGCTATTCTGTGGCTGAAGACTGAGAATCAGTTGCATTGCCTTGACTCCTTCCTTGCCCTATCTGGTATTGTTGAGATTTGGACCACTGGGCATTTTCACATTACTTAGGACAGGATGATGGCCTGTAAGATAATGACCTTCAGTGAGTTCATCAGTGTAAAGTCATTATACCCTGGATATTAGTGTTTATCAAGCTTTGCTTTTTTTAACTTACATTCTTATTTTGGTAAACATAAAAATCTCACACATGCCATCTCTAGAAACTCACAAAACATCCTGAAGCACATGCTGCTAAGAAACACATCTAATCAGAAACCACTGTCTCTATCAAGAAGAAAAAATAGATGCAGAAGCTTTATTTTGCATAATAAATAACATATGGTATTTGTCATCTTTAAAATATAAAATGTTAAGGTAATATTAAATATTCTTTTCCTTAGTGAAACTGCCTACCTATTCTCTCTTGGGAATATGTTTTGCCTTTATCTAGGTTCTTGGGGTCCACTGCCTTAGCAAATTAACCAAATATTTTCAGAGGTGAAGAGGATATTACCACACTGAAATATATTCTGAAAATTTGAGACATTATTTATCTCAATTTAATTGCTTAGGCTGTGGAATTATGGTCAGATGGATCATTTTGTGAATTTGCACTATTGTCTCATTTACACTTTCAGAATGATAATTTTTTGGTTTTGATGATACAGCTAAAGGCAGTCAATAATTATTTATGTATATTTGGTGACTGATACCTGAACCAAACAGCAAAGTGAAAAACACTTGATGTTGTGTGTTTCAAATTTCAGTGGTAATAATGTGAGTAAAAAGAACTCCCCTTACACTCAAGGAATACCTTGTGCCAGCTGCCCTGGTCACTGTGAAAATGGACTATGCAGTAAGTCTGAAGTGATTAACTTGCTGTTCAGAGTTGATATTTTCTTTTGTTTTTATGAATGAAGAAATCCCCTAATCAACTGAATAATATGTTCATGAAAAAGCCAAAACAAAATACTCAATAATGTGTCAAAAGAGAAGTTCAGGTTGGTTCCAGCTCCAAGTTGAGTAGCTGGAGCACTATTTCACAGAGGTTGTATACGAGAGGTACAAGAAGGCCATATCTAAGAATTGTCAGCCTTGTGGGTAGTATGATGAGTTTAGTTTGAAATTTCTTAAGTTTGGGGTTCTTAAGGGAACATCTAAGCAGAAACATCAGGAGAAAAATTGAATGCTGTCCTTGTTTTACATCTATGTCCACC